GAATCATGAGAGTTTAGTGTTGTTTCTGTCTTGCTTGCTTGCTTGCTTGCGGCGATGAGGATGAGGAAGTTGATGACGACAACCGCAATGTTGTCAATGGCGTGAGCAAGGTAGGGTATGACGTAACGTGCACGCGTTACCGTGGCGACCGACAATGTCGAGCGCGTTGCCGTGGCGACGACGATTGCTTCTCTCCTCACGCGTCGCTGCATTTAAGAATTGGTTAACATCCATTTCATTAGATATCGTAATTCCATTCCATTCAGTCTTTAGTTTGAAATTAATTTAATTAGAGTAAGGAAACTAATTATTATTGTACCACGTTTATACTCGCTAATTAAATGTAGTCGTTATCTCTGTTTCGTGAGAGCTACTGCATTCGAATTAACAACAGATTCTTGTCTGAGCTTTTTGTTATGATAAGATATTTTTGAGTGAAAGTGCAACACGTAGAAGCGTTCATTAGTTTTCATTTAAATCTGCGAGTAGATGTTTCACTGTATTTTTTTAAATAACTAAGTTAGGTTAAACACTCCCAACGTTTTGTTTTCAGGTTTCCAAGTCATCTGATTCTGTTAGAGTTACAAAAAGTAAGTGTGGATTTTATGTTAATGCATGGTTTTACTTTTATGTGCCGGGGTGGGTACAAGGTTTATAGTTAATATATGTTATGCTCAGTATCCCAAAGTCTGTTTACTCGAATTCTAAAAAAAACGTGTGTTTTTATCTGTATTAGTTACAACATCAACATGAGTTTTCATTTTGTCAACATTAAAATTTTTTTTTGCATTGTGTGTTTTTACTGGTTGGGCCATCCTTAAAAAATTATATGTTTGCTGTCCTCCGACCGACTCACGAAAATAGCCGCGACCCAAAAGTTTTTTTTTTACATTTTGGGTTTCATATTATTTTTTTTTAAACATTTTTTATAGTTAAGACTGAAACACAAAGCATGTGTGGCAAACATGAGGACAGACTTAAAATAACTATTATGCCTCACAAAAAAAAGACCTACTTACCTACCCACTAAAAAAATCATGGGTCGGGAGACAGCAAACATAGAATTTTTTAAGGATGGCCTTAACGTTTCTTGTTTTATGTTTCTTTTTGTAGTCACGCTTTACTGTGATCTGTTTAGCCTTGACAAGTTGTTTCTCAAAAAATTATCTTGATATTACACATAATATTCGGCTAATGCTGAGATGTTATGATGATATCAGGAGCATATGTACTAAAGACGGTTTTTAGTTGTAGTGATATAATTTTACGAACCAACATTTTAAAGCCGCAATATGCGCATCCAAACGCTAATTTCTCCAGTACTAGACTAGCAAATACTTCGTGTCATGCATAATCATTCATACTACCTTATGACAAAATAAACTCTAGTTCCTCCCATTTCACTGCGTGTTGTCTTATAAAAGGTATTTGGAAATACCTCCAATTGATGTTGTTCAAATTCTCCGATATTGTTGACACGTTCGCGTTGCTCTGCCAAGCAACCGTACTGCGGGTGCAACCCGTAGCAACATGTGACGTCACCTAACCGATTCGGGGCTAAATTGTTTGGCAAATAATTTGGCGTTGGCGCCAGATTGCCAGATTTCGCACCTCTTTCTTGTGGGTTTTAAGCAAACGCGCAGTGAAATGGGAGGAACTAGAGTTTATTTTGTCATAAGGTAGTGTGATTATGCATGACACGAAGTATTTGCTAATCTAGTACTGGAGAAATTAGCGTTTGGATGCGCATATTGCTGCTTTAAGTGATATCTATGTCTTACCATGGGACATATATTATTTTAAATATCATCAATTTCAGTTTTATACTGCCTGATGATATCTTGTTTGCAAAATTTATTTTAATTGTAACGTTGTTAACACTAGTTTTGCAATAAACCTATTATCTATCTATCTATCTATCTATATATATAATATAGAGATGCACTATGAGTGAATAATAATAGAATCTATTATTATTCACTCCTGACTATATATTATACACTCGTGATGTTATGTCATGTTACCACTGCAGTCTGTGTGATGTAGTTTGCTGCACCAAGTACTGATTGCTACATTTGCGGTATGCGTGCTGTATGCTGCATACATACAGCATGAATCTATAGGTTTAGCAGGTTCCTGCTTGCACTTTATTTGATTTCTATGTCAACAATAATTTAAATACACTCCCCGCAGGCTCTCATGAAAAAAAGTGTATAGAAATAGATGTGCGTAGATATATATATATTATGTGGTATGTGGGTAATTTTAGATTGTCAGGGCTTCCACGTGTAATGTTGATTGCTTGCACTAAACAACAGTATACGTTAGAATAGAATAGAGAGAAACTGTTAGAAGGAAGTGGAAAATTACATGAGATTGAGAACCACAGTTCTCCGCTGGTTCACTTCCACGATGCTTTCTTTCTAACCGTCACTAAGTGAAAAGCTGTCAATTTCAAGGGATAGGCTGTATCTATGCCCACCCCACCCTTTGCACAAATACTTGAGTCCAATTGTTGTCATTCATTGATAAAAAGGAATGGTTTGTATTATGTTGGAACATAATTGTTTAGAACACGCCCAGCATCATGAAGCATAGTAAGTGTAGGTAAGGCTGAGAGGGTCTATGTTCCCCGGGGTACTGCCGGAACGTACCCTGGTACTATCTAATATGCCGAACCGTACCTCGTCTACTCCACTAACGAGTCTAGGGAGTCGCCTACGCCTACTCCCTAACCCGAACCCTAACCCTAACCCTAACCCTAACCCTAACCCTAACCCTAACCCTAACCCTAACCCTAACCATATCAAATAGTTACCAAGGTACGTTCCGGTATACCGGACCGTACCCAGGGTACGTTCCGGCAGTACCCTGGGGGACATAGACCCTATGAGCGTAGGTAAGTGTGTGCTTAACACTGCTCAAGCCTCATAAATACATTTTAAGTGAAGTTCTGCTAGATGGTAGAAACGTGTGGCATGCCACCGAGAAAACAAATCTAAATCGCGGAAAAGTTTTTTGCAGCATTTTTATTTTTTCGGCTATAGAAACCCGTCTGTGTTAATGATGCGTGAAATTGGTCAGCTATGGAAGTGTGTGTTCTATTTTTGGCCTCCTCTACGGAATATCAATCAAGCAGACCGCTGCAATGCTTTTTTAATGATAAACTGACTCATGTGCGCTCTCGGAATTTTTCGGTGGGATTTTTTTCTTGCTCCGTACCGCTATTAGCAATTATCAGTGAGTAGTTGCAGAGCCTAGAGCAATTACTATTCTATTTCCCTTCCTCCCGGCGCAGCTGTGTTTGGGAATGAGCTGTATTGATTGGTTATTGGTTGCCCGGCAACGACTGTAAACGGACTATGTTTGCCTCTTCGCCTAGCTGCAATAAATAGTAACGGGCCTTCCAGGCTGCTGCCGGTAGCAGGGCTCCCACTGACAGCTGCAGTAGTTGATGTCTGTAGCCTCCTTCCCTTCATCTCCCGATGTTCCCACTGTAAGCATGCCTGCCGTTCACTATAATGCTGTTCGCAACATGTTCTCGAACGGTTTAGGAACGGCGAGCAGGGTTAGTGCGGGTCCAGGAAAGCATGGAACGTCCTGGAATGTTAGAATGACGTTTAATTCGTCTGAAAAGTCCTGAAAAATAGGCTTTTATTATTAATATTAAATGTTTGATGACATGGAGTGTCCTGGAAGTTAAAATCATACCTCTCTAGCTATGCATTTTCTGACAGTATTTAAAAGTGTTCTTTTTAAGATTTTGTAGAATGTGGGCGTACCTAGCAACAAGTGAATGTTTTTCGTCGTGGCAAAACGAATTAAAACTGTTTTTTATTGATTTGATACATCTTTCCCACATTTCTTCGTCAGTTTATTTTTTAATATGAATCCATTTACCTTTGTGTCTAACATATAGAGCCGTGTTTAAACAAATATTTTTGTGCACCGTTTATTGCCTTTATATAGCTTTTTCACATTCCTTCACATTTTGTCTCAATTGTTTTTCAAGCATGCATAAAGCTGCCTTTATTTGTGGTTGTTTAGCGTGCATAAAACTATATATTTGGTTCACACATCGTTGGCACGTGATTAGGAATCTCATCACCTCGTAATAATCTGTGTGTATTACTTCGACCGCACCAAGAATATATCGCTACTAAAACTGTACTGACCAATAAGAGATGGCCAACAACCTAACCCAACGGAACCCCCGTTTGCGAGGCCCTACTCCTTACGAGAAGCTAGAGAAGAGAAATTATTTTCCCAAAAAATGTACAGATATAAAAAGTAGCGATATATTTTTTTTATCGTCGCAGCACGAGCGGCCGTGGCATCTGCATTTATAATCGCATGCCATCGTTTCACGCACGTATGTGTGTGTGTATGTGTCGTTATTTTGCTTTCTTGTTTCTTGCTTTTGCCCGTAGACAAGAAATCGCGTGTTAGCTATGCCGCACGTCCCCTGGCTGAGCAGAACGGGGAATTGCAGCAACAGAATGCCGGCCAGCCAGCTAGATCTACAAGCCGTACTACAGGTACTAGCACTCACCCACTCACCACCACCACAGACACCGCGCACGGCGGGGGAGGGGGCGGGGGCGGGGGAGGGGGCGGGGTGCGGTGGAGGCAGAGACACCGTGCGAGAATGAGCGGGCGGGGGGTGTTGGGGGAGGGGGAGGTAGAGATACAAACGTGTGGGAACAGGTGGAGTAGGTGAGACAACACTCGCGGGGTGAATAAGAACAGTTAGATACACACACGTGTGTGTGTGTTAAGAGGAATAGGGTCCCAGACGTGGTTCTACCCATCTACTAACGTAGTGCGCTGAATCAAACGTGCCTACGTGGCGCCACCTATTCCCTGCAACCATGGGAGGCAGGAGTATGCCATCTTACACTGTGCACACTGCTACCATCTCTCCTACTTCCCTCCCTCCTCCCCCCTAGTGCACTACTATATACTATATACTACGTTAGTAGATGGGTAGACCCACCCTC